GGCGTGCTGGATCAACCCTCCCCACCTGCTTCTGACCACCTGCAGGTCTAGGTTGTTGCAGATGGCACAGGTGAGTTGCGAGGTTTTTCCATGGAACAAAATCCATGAGATCCTTCTCACCCTTCAGTTGAGGATCATAGCTGTCTAGGGTCTTAGGTTTAAGGTTTCGGGTTCCAGAATTCAGAATTCAGTGTGACCATAAGAAAGCTTGATCGAAATAGTCCTCATGAAATCCTGTGAAGAGCCCTATCTTGTGGGATGTGGACCATATGGGAGTTTTCCAAAACAATGCGTATGTAATTCCCGCTAAGAGATCCCTATAACCCTCTTATAACTTGAAATCCCCACATATACCTGGGGTCCCTAAACTCCAAACTGTAAGGAGTCCCCCCCCCCATATTTACTGCCCTGTTTCATCGCAGGGCCGAGCTACAGAACAGACTCCCGATCAGCGCCGGTCGCTTAGAGCCTTGCAGACCTGGGAGGTGACCTCAAATAAGGGTACTCTTTGGGATCCTCTCCAGTAAAGAATATAGTTCCCCGTAAGTAGATAGAATATAGCTTTGGGCAAATTATAATAAGATCCCCATATACCCCATATTCTATCTACTCAAGGGGGACTCTACCCTCAAATTATATTGGGACCATGTTGCGGCACCCGTACATGAAAATCTCCACTTTAAAACCTCAACCCGCGCTGAGCCTCTTGTGTTGTTGCAGTCCGACCTCAAGGTTGGTTCAAGACTTCTGCGACTTCCTTTGCGAAGTATGGAGTGTATCCTGGTCAGGGACTGAAGGCCTCATCTGTTTTACAAGTCGAGTGCAGCTTTGCAGAGTGGACGGTGCAGTACAGCTGGCGATCCCCAAAAAGCCCAGACAAGACAGAAAATATTAATACTGATAATACTAATAATAATACTACTAATTCTCAGAATAGCGATAGTAATATTACCAAGAATATCAATACTAATACCAATAATAGCAATAACAATAATAATGATGAACCCTCTGACAAGCCTTTGGGTTCCGTTGCAATTGCCTCTTGAGAGTCTGCAATGCCAGGGAATGTACATGCGTGATCCTCATACCGGCGTCTGGCACAAGGCAGCTGAGAGAGTCTCGCATGAGATACTATCATTCTGGGCAGTCCCCATATGTACTATAGTCTAAATTCCTTAAAGGGGGTTATATAGGGGATTATATAGAGGACTGTTATAGGGGTTATTAAGGGGGATACTAGGAGTTTGGCTCCGGGTGCGCCAAGTGCCCGGGCTGGCACTGTTCGTGTTCCAAGAGCATACGCTGACCAGAGCATCCGTGCCCAAATCATAATTCCGTTCGCGTTCCACGCGCATCCGCTGACCAGACCATCCATGCCGAAATCATAATTCCGTTCGTGTTCCAAGAGCATACGCTGACCAAAGCATCCATGCCCAAACCATAATAACGTTCGTGTTCCAAGAGCATACGCTGACCAAAGCATCCATGCCTAAACCATAATAACGTTCGTGTTCCCGGAGCATACGC